CCATCTCAAGTCTTCCCTCCCTTGCTCGGCTCTTCTCAGCTGGTCACAACTGTTCTCTTCTCTTCTCATGTCACCTGAGCTTTTCTCATCTCTTCTTTTCTCATCTCAGCTTATCTCAGCTTAGTGGAGTGTAGCGTAGTGTAGTGCAATTAGTGTAGTGTGGTGCAGTGTAGTGTAGTGTAGCGTAGTGTAGTGTAATGTAGTTAGTGTAATGTAATGTAATGTGGTTGTGGCTGTAGCTGTAGTTGTAGTGTAGTGTAGTGGAGTGTAGTGTAGTGGTGGTTGTAGTTGAAACTGCTACAAAACGTTTCCGTTTTGCTCACTTTTGACAAGGTGCACAACCCCTTGCGCCTGCCACGCGAAACGACATCTGAACGTCCAAAAGTGGTCCGAGCATGTGGTGCTTTTAACATTTTGACTTCGAAATGTGCTTCGCGCCACAATGGCGTGCACTTTTTCGACATCTCAATTTCCAAAAGTGGTCCGAACCTGGTTTTGTACATTTTGACTTCGACATGTGCTTCGCACCAGCCGGGGAGGTGGGCGTTGCTGGGGACGTCGGCGAAGGCGGCGCCGCCGGGGAGGTGGGGGAGGCTGGCGACGTCGGTGAAAGCGGTGTAAATGGCACCGCTGGCAAAGATGCCTGAGCCGGTAGAATGGGAGGCCCTAATAGATGTGGGCCAGCTTTGGCTTTTTTTTACGAACATGACTTGTAGGCAGTAAAGCTGTAGCAACCTCAGCCTAACTAGTAATTAATGAAGCAAACATGCACATGGCCTCTGCATCTGCTTCCTGCTTGGCCGCGTTGTCGAGCTCCATGCCCCTATTCTCTTGGACGATGTTGCCAGTCTCCACCAAAGCCATCGCTTCCGCTTGCTCCCGGAAAGCGTTTTTAGAAGGACCTGCAACAAATATTGCGCAAATTTAGCGTTTTCAATGCGCTGATATCTGTGCGTTGAATGCGGCCTGCAGCTGGAACGGTAGAGCATGCGTCGCTCGTATCGGAATCCGAAGCGGAGCCTGCTGTCTTGAAGCACGGGTGACGCATTGCTATACGTCACTTTGCTACAGGCATTAATGCATTCCCTCGTCGCAAGACATCGTCAAAAGTTGATCACTTGGGACGCCTATATGGAGTACTATACCTTGTTTATTGTCTATCTGCCTATCCACCTATCTATCCAGCTATCTATCTGTCTATATCTATCCGTCCGTCTACCCATCTGTTTATCAATCTATGCATAAACCCACCCATCAACCTACCTACCGATTTGTTTCCCGGTAGTACACTGTAAAGCAAGGCATTGACATGAACCCCCGACAAAACCATGAATCAGATTGCAGGCTTTAGCGACGCCTTCTTCTTCGGTCTCCTCCGATTCCGCCGCGTCGCTGTCATCGCTGTGGCCAAGCTCACCTGACGGACTTTGCTTCCGATGTCTAGCGCAGCAGAATCGACGCAGGATGGCACGCGTGCCAGGACAACCCAGGGGTTCCGAAATCGCTTAAATAAGAAAAGCTCGCTTATTTAAGGCAACCTCGCTTATTTACCTTGCTTCAGGAAAGGCTTTTGCAGTATTTAAGAGAAAACATTGCTTAATTAAAGAAAAATCCCTTAATTAAGGTTTTTTTTAAGCAAGGTTATCTTAAATAACGAAGGTTTTCTTATTTAAGGAAGGTCGCTTAAATTTAAGCAAGGTTTTGCTTTTTTATGAAGACGGCAACATCGAAGCTATATTTCTCCTGATTTTTGTTGGATCTTTTTTTATTTCTTAAAAATAAAAATTGCATTTTTTTGAAAATTTCTATGTTTTCACTTTTTTAATTTTATTTTTACATATTGTTCTTTTAAAAAAATATTAATATATATATATATCAAAAATTAAAAAATTAAAGATTTTTAAAAAATAAAAAATTTACTTTTTTTAATTAAACATACGAAACAATGTGTCCATTTTTTTTGAATAAGTAAGAAAAAACACAAAGAATACAAAACAAAAATAACCTTGCTTAAATCAGCAACCTTCCTTATCCTCAATTAAGCTAACCTCGCTTAAATAATTTAAGGATAATCTACCTTAATCTTAATTAAGCGAAAAGGGAACCCCTGGGAACACAATCAAAACAAGCTTTGCGCCCAACACGACAGGCAAGCCTCGAGGATAGACTCGTTCCAGGAGGTACTCCTCCAAGACAGCTTCGCACCAGGCGGCGTTCTTGATTTCCTTCTTCTGTCCTGCAGTTGTGTTTGAAGCGGTATCCCCAAATAAATTGACATGCAATTGCAAGTGCTTCATTGTCCCAGTGCTCTGGCGCGGGCGCACCTGCAGCACGGAACTTCGCGGCTGACTGGGTACACATAGACCCCAGCCATGTCGATTGCTTCTTTTTGCGCCTGCCAATCACCCATGATCGAAACATAGTGAAGGGAGAACGCCCGAAAAGGCACGACCAGCTACTGCATACCATTCCATTGCTGCCTGCTGCCTACTATTCCACTGCCTCCAGCGGCAAGCTGCAGAACCAGTCATAGAAGACCCGGCCGCGCACGGAGCAAAGCTTGCGCTCCCTCCGCATAATTGCGGTTAGGGTCTTGTGCCCGATCCTTGCCAACATGGTAAAGATTCCGGTTTAAGCAACAAATTCACGAACTTCAATGCATGCTAGCCCTGCTGGTTCCGGGCCTGCGTAGGTTCACGGTGCGGGGATCAAGCTGCACAGCCTCACCTTCTGCCTTTGCGCAAAGCGCTTCGAGGAAGGCTTTGTCGATAAAGATCTTGTGTGACCTGGGCACGCCGTTGTGATGAAAGCAGCATTGGTTCAGTTTCAGCCGACTGGCAACCTTAATGGTGGAATGCCGCTCTTTCAAGAACCGTTGGGCTCCCCTGCGCTGCAGCAGCTCTCTTCGCGGCCTCGGGTTCTTTAGAATGCGCAAGCCACGTGGTTCAACCGGATGCTGCTGCTGCTGGCCTTGGTAGGTTCCTCTTTGTCTTTGCCAGGCCTCGGGCGACAACAACTACATGCCGTGGAAATGCAATGTCGTGGGCAACGAGCCACTGCGGCGTGCAGTGGTTCGACTATTATGTATACTGATTCACGATCGCCACCTAAAAAAGATACTGGGGCGGGCGGCTCTTCGTCCTTTTCGGCGCATTGCTCAGGGTCCTCCTCTTCCTGTCATTTGTTCGGCTGTTGCAAAATGCTAGTTAGCCTACGAACGCGCTTGCGTGCGTGTGTCAACCTATATTACGACACCCCCTGCCTGATTGCTGCAGCGTGCCAAGGCGCTGGCAGAGGCTTCAATCAATCCTGCGTCGGACCGAGAAAAAAGAAGACATCAAAAACACGTTAAACGAGTGCTTCGCCAATGCGTTGCCTTCGCGCGAAAAGGTTCCCCAAATTCATGGGCTCGCAGCAGATCCAAGACAGGTCGGGATGATTCCGGGGCGCGCTCCTACACAGTTTCGGTTTCAAAATTCTGCATTGGTGTTGCGCTCGTTCTGCTGCAGCCAGGATAAAATGCTGCCGCGCCTTCACCAAGCGATCTGCCAGCCACTGGTATGTCAGGTCGGCCACAGCCGTGTCGTCTGGCACCCAGTGCGGCATCGTGGGCTGGAGGACTTCGATCGGCAGCTGGTCATCGTCGACCAAATACGTATAGTAGTGGAAGAGCACGGCTGTGAAGGCCTGGCATCAACATTGAACACTACAAGCAATAGCCCGCGGATGCAAGAAAAAACAAAAGAAAAGGACGCCGCTGATTGCGCGGGCAAAAGCTGGCGCTGCCCACCGTCTGCATGTTGAAGACTTCTTCAAAGTTCCCCATCGCCCTTGACAGGCGACGCGCTGTAAAATGCACAGGCGAATGCCCTGAAAAGAGCCGCGGAAACTGTGTGTACCCTATGAGGGGACGCGTGCTGGATGCTAAGCGCCCCACACTGTTGCAGTCGCCGCCGTGTTGCCTTCCAGCGCGTGCTTCAGGCGGTTAGGCTCCTGCAAATAAAGAAACTGCAAAAAGAGGCTGCCGCTACTCTGTATACTGGATTGTTTGCGGCTTCCCAAAATTAGGCGGCCGTCCCTTGTTGGTGCACTTTTTCGACATCTCAACTTCTAAAAGTGCTCCGGAGCTGAACTGTTTTGTACATTTTGACTTCTCAATGTGCTTCGCACCACAACGGCGTGCACTTTTTGAACATCGCAACTTCCAAAAGTGCTCCGAACATGGTGTGCTTTGTGCATTTTGAGTTCCAAATGTGCTTCGCGCCACAACGTCGTGCACTTTTTCAACATCTCAACTTCCAAAAGTGTTCTGAGGCTGCCGTGTTTTGTACATTTTGACTTCTCAATGTGCTTCGCACCACAATGGCGTGCACTTGTTCGACATCTCAACTTCCAAAAGTGGTCCGAACCTGGTGTGTTTGTACATTTTGACTTCGAAATGTGCTTCGCGCCACAAGGACGTGCACTTTTTGAACATCGCAACTTCCAAAAGTGCGCCGAACATGGTGTGCTTTATACATTTTGACTTCCAAATGTGCTTCGCGCCACAATGGCGTGCACTTTTTCGACATCTCAATTCCTAAAAGTGCTCCGGAGCTGAGGTGTTTCGTACATTTTGACTTGGAAATGTGCTTCGCGCCACAACGCCGTGCAACTTTTCATCTCTCACCTGACCACATGGCTCCGCACCCGCCGCTTTAGCGAGCCTACTTTTCGACCCTCCGGAGCCACAAATCATTTGAAAAACACAATGTTTTGCGACTTTCCTACCTTTTCGCGCACCTGCATCGTCTTTCTTCTGACTCTTTCTCTTCTCTGATCTTCTTTCTTCTTTTCTCTTCTCTGACTCTTCCCACCTCCGCTTTTCATCTGTTCATATTGTCGGAAGTTTGACTTCTAAACTTCCTTCGATAATCCAACCCACCTTGTCATGAGAAGCATAATCATAGATTTTTTCTTCTGGGAATACCATCCGCTATGGGTGATGATGCCATGCCACATCACTGCACAAAGACCCACAGCGAGCCAGCCTTGTTGGGATCTCCGTCTTTTCCTTTCTGCGCCTTCTTTTCTTCTTCTACACCTCGGGACAACAGCAAACAGCTGCCCACAACTTGGAGAAGTCCAAGACACCGACATGCCTCTTTCTCTGATTTCCAAAACTTCAATCAAGAAAAATAAGGATTCGGAGTTTCCTCATGGACAATCGCTTTGTCCATCAAGGTACCAAAAATCCCCATGCTTGAGACGTGCCCTGCCATTCCGTACCTTGAACGAAGAAGTGGGACAACTCGTCCACTTCCGCCTGAGAGAAGCTGTTGCCTCCGCTGGAACGGAGCTCCGATGCCTTCAACTGATCCTGAACCGACAGGTGGACCGACGGGCCTTGGGGATGCCTTAAGGGGACGCCTTCGTGGGGTCAATGGACCCTTTGAGCTGCTAATCTGCTAATGGGGAGATCCTCATACCCAGTTCAACCGATGAGGGCCAAGATCGAGGATCTTCGAGGATCTTGCGGCCAAAGATGATGGTGGATTTGCTTGAGAGCATGGCTCCCATGTCCAATGATCAAGCAGCGGTTTCAAAAGTCCTTGCCTGGGGAACTGCTACCCTTATGGTTTTGAAAGAGGTGACTAAGTTACAACTGCGAAATGGTCCGCAAAAATTGTAAAATGATGATAAAGCTAGTATTTTGGAGTTCAAGATCTTGGGACAACTCTATGGTCAGGTCCTGATGCGTTTGCAGAATGCGCTGGAGGTGGATGAAGACCCAAAACGTCAACGTAGGCGATTCGTCATTGCCACACTGTTCTGGTGCCACCTACGGAAGACAGCCCAGCAACGTTTCTGAGGTTCGAAAGGTATTGGAAGTTCAAAATGTTGGATTAAGACCATAACCCAAAAAAATGAACCCAAAACTGGGGACCATCGATTTTGAGCTGGCGCCTATTCTTACCAGCTTGGGAACCACGGCTCATCTACATTGACGGATGCGGATGGTTAAAGGCCGAGTTTGTGGATCAGCGGCCAAGCCGATGCCAAGGAACACCAGCGTTTAGAGCGGCTCGGCGCGCTTCATTGATGAAGCCCAAGAGGTTCCTCGGAGCTGGAGCAACTCACTGAAGTCAAACAATCTGGGTGATTCGATGAGATGCAATGCGCCTCTCGTGGGATCTCATGAATCCAATGGGGATGTAAGTTATCAGGTCAGGGTTCAAGTCGATAGCTTGGGTATTCGATTAAGGGATCACCAAGTCCTGGGCATACGATCCAGCATTTGGAAGGTATGTTGGCGTGTGGACTTTCATCCAAAGATATAGGCCAGCAATCCCAAGAAAAATAAAGGAAAATGACAATACACAAGGGAGTTCTGTGACTGACAAAGATTTTGAGAGAAAAGACAGGGATGGTGCTTTAAATTATGTCCCCCTAGCCCTAGTCTTAATGGATTTGCCAAGCGACTGCTGGTCCTGCTTGGTTGCCAAGGGTAAACCTGACCATTTTTGTGAGAAATCTGTCCCAGGACACCCCGCTTTTGATGTGTTTTGATTATGAATGGCGCAAGTTTCTATGCAACACTCTGAAACCATCTTTCAAGATCTTTCAAGGAACCTCGCTCTTTGCAGAAACTCACCAGCTCCTTTTGGGCAATGACGCCACCTCAGCACCCAGTCGCTGGGAGCGAAAATCAGATCTGCAGAAATCTGATGTTGACACAATGCTACCTGTGGAGGTGAGCTACTTACTGCTCAACACTCAACATCACTATCAGTCACTATCAGTCCCTGTCACTTTCCAAAGTGTTGCGTGTCTCTTCTGGCATTGCAACAGGCTTTCTGCAACAAAGGCGCTTCCATCCTGAGCGCAGTGTGAACACATGTGAACACTGGGAATTTTGACCTTTCGTGAACCAAAAACACTTCACAACACATCCATTAATTAATCATCACATATTATATAGTCCTTTATATAACCGAAGGAAGTTTAGAAGTCAAACTTCCGACAATATGGACAGATGAAAAGCAGAGATGGGAAAAGTCAGAAGAGAAGGGAAGAAGAAGAAGAGAGAAGATCAAAAAGAGAAAGTCTCCGAAGAAAGAAGATCCAGGTGCGCGAAAAGGTAGGAAAGTCGCAAAACACTGTGTTTTGCCAATGGTTTGTGGCTCCGGAGGGTCGAAAAGTAGGCTCCCTAAAGCGGAAGGTGCGGAGCCATGTGGTCAGGTGAGAGATGAAAAGTTGCACGGCGTTGTGGCGCGGAAGCACATTTCCAAGTCAAAATGTACAAAACACCTCAGCTCCGGAACACTTTTAGAAGTTGAGATGTCGAAAAAGTGCACGCCATTGTGGCGCGAAGCACATTTCGAAGTCAAAATGTTAAAAACACGACATGCTCGGACCACTTTTGGACGTTCAGATGTCGTTTCGCGTGGCAGGCGCAAGGGATTGTGCACCTTGTCAAAAGTGAGCAAAACGTGAGGGTTTTGTGGCATTTCCAAAAACGATGGCAAGCGTGGGACATTTGAAGAAGATGATCTGCACAGATCTTCAGGTTTGCTGAGGTGATTTCGTGAGACAGGTGCAGCACTTCGTATGACCTGGCATCACTTTTTCCTGGCAGGCGCAATACTTTAGACAGGTGGAGTGGAAAAATCGCAAAATGCACTGGTACGAGGCCGTCAGCTCTGCACTCAACTTTCTATTTTTGAAAGGAGTCTCGCAGAATTGCTGCGTTTTTGATGTTGTCAACTTCAAAAAATGAGGAAGTCTCGCAGAATTTATTTGTTTTTGATGTTGTCAAATTCAAAATTGAGAAGTCTCGCAGAATTGCTGCGCTTTTGCTTTGTCAAGTTCAAAACTGAGGAAGTCTCGCAGAATAGCTTCGTTTTCAAGCTTGCAGATAGACAGATAGATAGAGAGACAACTACAACTACAAGTACCACTACGCTACACTACTACAACAACTACAAGTACAAGTATACTACGCTACATTACACAACACAAATTACACTACGCTACACTAATTACATCTAATTACGCTACACTACACAAATTACATTACAACTGCTACAAGAGCAACTACTACAACAGCAACTACTACTACAACAACAGCAACTACTACTACTACTACTACTCCTACTACTCCTACTACTCCTACTACTCCTACTACTCCTACTACTCCTACTACTCCTACTACTCCTACTCCTACTCCTACTCCTACTCCTACTCCTACTCCTACTCCTACTCCTACTCCTACTGCTACTGCTACTGCTACTGCTACTGCTACTGCTACTGCTACTGCTACTGCTACTGCTACTGCTACTGCTACTGCTACTGCTACTGCTCCTGCTCCTACTCCTACTCCTACTCCTACTCCTACTCCTACTCCTCCTACTCCTCCTACCACCACCACCACAGCTACAACTACAATTACAGCTACACTACAGTACACTACAATACACTAATTAAACTGCAGCACATTACAGCTTCAGCTACAACTACAACTACACTACACAACACTATACTACTGTAATTACATTACATTACACTACAACTGCAACTACCACTACATTGCACTACACGACACTACACTACAACCACACTACGTTACACTACAATACACCAGACTACACTACACTATACCACGCTACAGTACACTACAATACACTACACTAATTACACCACACCACAACTACAACTGCAAGTGCAACTACACGACGCTAATTACACTACATTACAACTACAGCTTAAAAATATACAACTCCACTACACTACACCTACAACTACAACTGCACTACACCACACTACATCCAGCAGTTGTGGTGAGGTGACCACTGCAACCATTGCAGCCACTCCAGAAAACACAACTCCAAGCACCTTTCGGTCCATCAGTAGATTCGCTCTGCCATCCGTGATTCACAACAACTAACCTCTCCTATAGGTTTCCTATTGGTGAAACTTCCGCCACCGCCTTGCGCGGTACTACTGGTATATTGTAATATTGGGTGGTTTCTTTTGGAGCCACTTCACATCGTCACTGCCAAGCTTCAGAATCCAGAGATTTGAACAAGCGACGAAACTTCTCCACATTCTCATCCGTAAAGCTCGCTTGCCTGGACATATGTTACATACCAGGATGATATCGATGAATTTTTAAGGCTAAGGTCAAAAACATTCAAAACCTACCATTTTAACCATAAAACTTGGAGGGATGAACATCCATTTCATCCATTGCTATTTGGATGTTCACTGGGGTGCCTTTTGACCCATAGCCATTTTTTCATGCAAGGAAATACATCTAAACTTCCAAAGGAACGAGTTTGTCCTGCCAACACTCACAACTGGTATTTCTTACAGAGTACGCATCAGAGCAATATCAATGCCTAGGAGAAACCATGGTTGTGCTGCCAAGCGGCTTTCTCATCTTTTGCATGTTCATACGACGGCAGGAATCCACCAAAAGGACCAGCGCATCGTAATCCAGAGGTTCTCGCACCAATCCCAAGAACAAATCTGGCGGCACCAAATCTGGACAACTTCTATCAAGTTCAGAGTAAAGCCAACAAGTAGAATTATGGACTGAATTATGGATATTATGACATCCTCCTAGTAGCCAATCCAACAACTTGGTCCTCAGTCTGAAGTTGTTCACTGCAAAAACAGCAATAAAACCCAGCAGCCATTGGGTCAAGCTGGTCGGGTGCACCCATGGTCGACTTCCCCACGGAGTCGGGATATCCGAGCCCGCGGAACATGGACGACACGTCTTTCGGAGCGATGGTGACTCTGACGTTCACATCCTCAGCTGAACGAATCAGCCCCAAATGGCTCCAACCAAGTCACCTCCAGAAATGCTGGGCTCACCAAAGGAAAAGAACAATATCGAAATATTATGTATGTATCTAAAGACATAGGACTGGGATAGTTAGAAAACTTGTTTACCTCGGGGTCGCAGATAGGATGACCATCCAGAATATGATTCCAGGATAGCAGGTGGCATGGCTACAGGAAGACTGGTGGCTTGAGAAAAAATCATCAAATGATTACAAGAGAGGTGCTCCAGAATAGGAAGTAGAACGGTTACAAGAACAGGGGTGCTTCCAGAATAGGAAACAGAACGGTTACAAGAACAGGGGTGCTTCCAGAATAGGAAAAATAATGGTTATAAGAATGGTGCAGCAAATGGTAAAAAAAAATATTTTGTCATACAAGCCCTGTAGCTGCAATATTCTCATATATAAATATATATACATATTCATTTATATCGTATCAAACACGATGTAACTGCTTCAGCTGAAATCAGCCACCGCGGACGAACAAACACCGAAGCCCCTAGCCCAGGATCCTCAGTGACGCAGGCATCGGCTTTGGAGTCAAAGACTTGCTTGACGCCTAGGCAGAAAACTACCATCAAACCCAGTTATAAATTGATTTATAATCCCCTTTAACTATAATTGACTATATCTAACCACAGTTAACTATAGTGAATTATAGTTAACTTTGCTAACTATAGTTGACTATAGTTCTATTCCTAGTTATATATATATATATATAGTTGGTCTATTCCAGATGATCTTCCCCATAAACCCATTGCCGTTGCCGTTGCTCGAAACGCCGAGGTGCTCATGAGTTCATCTTCTCGCTGAAGCCGCATGAGTCGTAGGAACTCGTTGAAATCCAAGGAGTTGCTGCCATTCCTACACCCCGGAGCCATCCCCGAGACGCCCATCCCCGAGACTTCACCATAAAGAGGTGGTATAAGAAAATTTTCCAATGGATGGCTTATGATTGTCCTTAACCACATTGTTATATAATGTTATATAGTGATATGTATTGTTATATACATAGTAATGGAATGGACATATAATTTGAGAATATGATCAATATACCAGTGATAGATTATATTACAATAGTATAGGATGTTTTAATCCTGAATACATCTGAAGACCATGATTCTTCCATTGGGAATGTATCCCCATCCCCATTCGACATTTTAAGCTGCCAGGAAGCCAGTCCACCGTTTTCACCAAGGCCTGTCAAGTGACAAGTCGATGCCCACAATCTAGCAACTCTCATACTTGGTGGCGAACTACCCACTTAGTAAGTGGGTTATAACCCCAGTTATAAATGGGATAAGTAGGGTTAATCCACTTATAATTGGGGTTGTAACCCACTTACTAAGTGGGATGAGCCACCAAGTACGGCAAAGTTTCAACAGAATCTTGAGTGAGTAGACGTGCATCATATAATGGGCTAGGAGTAAAAATATATCACTGGACTTGAAAGTCGATGACTCAAAAGAGTCAAATTCGGAAAATTCCAATTTACAAAATCCTGTTGAGTCAATTGAGTTCAATTTCACCCAAATAAAGAGAGAAACGGCAACAGCACGGAAGCGAGCTCGCGAGGCACCTGAACTTGCGCAAGCTCTGCACCTATTCCCAAGGAACGCAAGATGCTTCCCACCTGGATGACGTCAACCTGGAGATTCTGCGCTTGTCTCGTGGTTCAGCGTGAAAATGTTGCGCTAACATGGGATAGTTTCCTGGTAGTAAATTTGAAACGAATGGAATCTGGACTTTGGATGACTTTGGATCCTTGACTCATACAACAAAAGCCTTTAGTGATTTTACTGTGACCCATGCAATAGCCACATCCAACTCGTTTCCATTCAGAGTTCCGTGTCACTTCAAAAACACATCTCCGTCGCGCCTCTTCCTGTTGGCTCGTGTTGAACATGTCAAAGCTGTGCCTGAACTCCTGGGTCCCAGAATGGGATGATCATCCCCAATGACTGATCCAATGACTGATCCAATGACTGATCCAATGACTGACTAGTGACATCCAACTGTTTGACCATTTCACAATATGGGGATGGGTCAAAACCCTGGTACCTAGTGAACCCCAAAATAGCTGGCAAATGGATGTTCATCCCACTAAAAATGTATCTATAGGTATTGACCCATACCCATATCAACTACTAACCGTAGTTACTGACCTAGTGACATGATGCATCTGCAAAGCTATTCCCTAATGGCAGCCTTGACCTCATTCCGAGTGAAGCCGTTGTTCGTTCGGAAGATTTCCATCCTCACAGGCTGCGCTCACGTGGCCAACCCTCTCATTTTAGTGGAGCTGATACCCCTCCCTACCCCTCCCTACCCCTCCCACAATTGCACATGGGTTGCAAACCAAAGCGACATTTCCACAAACTCATCGAAATCCATGACGTCACCTGGCACTTCCACACCAAGAGCATCGCTTTCTGCTGACAGCAGGAGCAGCTTTGGTTCCATATGTTGAGGATGCTACCTTTTAACGGCCCGACAGCATCGATGAGGTCCAGAATCACCTGGGTCCAGGTCGGCTCTGGCCGCATGTCGTGTGGCCATGACATGCCCAGTGACTGCCCTCAGCGGAGTATAACCCACGCGCTGCAGCACCAGACGGATCTCGTCCTTCAAGGCACTCTTGGAAGATGTGGAACAGTGGCTATTTAGCAACAAGGATGGTTGGCACCCACTACTTCTGCTTTCAAGAAACAGCCACTTGTTTCACATGCAAATGTTTGAACCTCCAGATTATCCATAAAAAGAAACTATGGACCGACCCATACCTTGAAGCATTTTGGCGACGGCACAGTTTTTTCGAATGGCAATGGTCCTGATCCAAGTAACCTCCTTTATCAACATCTGCACGTTCGAATTCCTGACGAATTCGCCAGCTGAGCTACTCCCAAATTCTTGAGAGATTAATCATAAAACCATATAAAACCTCAATCTTTCATCATTTGTCCATATGCTTCCCATTGAAACAGCAATTTTGGGGGTCTACCTCATTTTTGGACACACTCATTTGGCATCATTTGGCAACGATTCTTGCACCTTTGGTTCTTTCACAGGTGATAATGGAAGCGCCTGTCTGTACCACTCCACCTCAACTTCGCGTAGACGCCTTGGAGAAAGACAAACAAAAAGCCGGACTCAAATGGTGCCTACGGGACAATTAGATGGTGATTTTGTACTTTAAATGTTGATGGGTTGGATAATACATGGGTATTATATGCTAGCCCATCGAATGGATGAATGACTTCCCAGCGATGTCGGAATCGCACCTTGCCTGGCCCAGAGCAAGAATTCACCTCAAAGAACAATGCTGTGGCCGTCCTTCTTCAATGGTCAGGACATTGGAGAAGCCCCCTAAATGATAGATATGATAGATATGATAGATAACTGTGATGACTGTGCTGACTCTGATAACTCTAACAGGACACAAAAGAGGCAGCGAATCTGAGCCTTTTACGCAGAGTCATTCCATCCCCATCAACGCTTTTTGTTCGCTTCCCCTGGAAATGGCCGGGTCCAACGGTAGTTCACTTATGGGTTGAATCAATGCCTTTGAAACATTTTGGGACCGCACACATCCACTTAAGTTTCCATTACAAGTTTGTCTCCGCAAAACCACAATGCAAATTTCAAAGCCGGTTGCATTTACGAATAGCTTAAGCAGCTTCTGCTCCTCAGCAATCATCAAAAACAACAAAGGATCAGCCTCCTCATCGGCATCGCTTTGCTCAGAGGGTGGCCTTCCAAGTTGGGAGGTAGTTCAAATGCTTGACATTGGATATACCTGATTTGAATATCTCCCCCTTTATGTGAGCAAAAAACTGCACTGTGTGAACTTGATCAATGTCTGCGGTAGCTGTGTTGAGTGACAACTGCACATCTATATATCATATATCCTGATTGTTGGACTTGATGGATCACAGCTCACGTTGGGGCTAAGGAAGGAGAGCACCATAACCGTCACCCTTCGCCCCATCGACCAACAGTCCAACAGTGCACCTTGGCAACTCGCTTCCCAGGCGAGATGCCAGGAGGGCTGTTTGGCTGCCGAACATCTCCATCAAGGCCTTCAGAAACTGGAGTTCTGACGGACCCAGCAGCACATCGTGACATCGGTTCTGTCCCGCCTTGCTGGACAAGGCAGAAGGGAGAACAAATCGCCCACTGCCATCTTTCCTTTGTCACAAAAACAAGTTGCCAATCCCCCAACCACTTGACGTGTCAGCTGGGTCTTGGGTGATGCTGTCTTCTGCCGAGCCCAAGGAGCAATTCTTCTGCAAATCGACGAAAGATCCGGTAGAGTTTCATGATCTGGCGATCAGCGACAAACGTCATGGGTTCCAAGAAAATTCACCAAACCTGTTGTTATATGGAGGTTTCCGAACATGAGGGTCACCCCCCGAATCATCCATGTTTATATGATTTTCCATGAAATAAACCATTATAAACCATCTATTTTGGTGGTACCCCCCGTCTATGGAAAACCCCATATGCTCTTGGTTGACATATCTCAGTCTGTCAGCCCACGGCAGCCTCAGCCTCACAGAATCCCTCCGTTTTTCCTTGGATCGCACTCTGAGTCATCATTGTTAGTTTGATAATCATAACTAGCATTTTATCAACATACTATTCTGATTTTTCCATGTGGGTCTTTGTAAAATTTTGTATATCTTGGAAAAGGTGGAAACAGATTTGCCAAGCTTCTGTAGATCAATAGAAGTTGCACAAACTCCTGGAAGTCCAGTGTGCCGGAATCGTCAGAGTCAACAACCGCCAAAGCCCCAGAGATCGTGGAGCCTCAGAGATTTCCACGACCCCACGGCCCGTGGTGACCACACCATTGAGCCATTTCCATTGCTGTCCCGGCAACGAAACGGAGTGATGCCCAAGGATTTCAGGACATCTTCCTCAGACATCGCCGTTGATGTGACATGCAACTTCTCTCAAGATATAGCAAAAATAAAGTAGATCAACTTGACTTCAAAATAGGTGGAAGAAGTGGAAGGTGGAATGTCACTGGACCATCAAACATAATTTGTTTATATATATATATACAGCCATTGGGATATCAATGGGTACAGAATGGGATACTCGTGGGGATATTAAGTGGATGTTTCCAGACAAGAAAAAGTTGGCACCAACTTTAAACATCAGATAGGACTCCAGTTCTTCTACACTGAGCTCGCCGGATCCATCAGCATCAAATTTCGTAAATATCTTTGAAACCTGAAGAGGGAAGCTCCAAGAAACATCACCCAAACACCAATGGATTGGAGATCTCTGCAACATGGTGGAACCGAAGGTAGCCACAACGTGCCTCCTCGTGGTCATAGGCCTTAGAAAAGAGTGCGACTTCGAAGCAGCAGCAAAGCCAATCCCGTTGTGAAAACCTTTAGAAAGCCTTTAAAATAGGTATCTCAAGGTATCTCAATCCCACATTTCGCCATCGGCGTTTCGGATCCCCCAAGGCATGCCGAGAAGCTCTGGCCAGCAGCATAAAACTCACGAATTCATCGAATTCCAAAGTCGAATATTTCCTTTGCATCAAACAGTGGATGCCACTCCCAACTCAGCGCCCCTGGAATGATCAAACTATTGTGTCAGAAATAGCAGGATGCTTATTTTCAGTATTTTTCAATCATGTTCAATGAATTTCAATCGTGTTTGATCATTTTCGTGGCAGCTACCTGTGAGCTACAACCACTGTACGTTCGTCCCTAACCATGACCCTGAGCACTGTGAGTATTGACGCAGCGATGATGCCTTCCCATTTCCAAGCATCGTGATCTCCGAGACATACTCTTGAATCTTTTCCGCTGAGATCTTCAGGTGACCCAAGTAGTCAAGAATCCTTCGGCAGCCAATGCCATACTGCTACGCTGAAGCCATAAACAGCGTTAGAGTGTCTGTTTGCCGCGAAGTATCTGTGGAATATCATCACTGTGAATTTCCAGGCCTTGGCAACACAGGGGAAAGGTCACTGTCGATGAATTCGAGCAGAAAGTCACGGTCCCATTGCGGTAAATTGTCAAACCCAACAGGCAAATATGGTACAGCATTGAGCCAGAGTCCGCACCATCACTCGACTCGGAAGTAGGGGTGCTGAAATCAAAGTCATCTCGACTGCCAAAGAAAGTTACCCATTACCTCTACCCATTACCTCTTGACAGAATATTCGGTATGCACTACACAAGGCCAAGGAACTGAATGTACTCCTGGCCACGGCAAGCACACCAAACAGTATGAACAACTATGGTTATAGTTATTATCTTGACGTGGATGGCGGCCACTCGTAGCGCCACCCATTTCAGCGTGTATCACAAGAACTTGATACCGGCAGGTCATAAGACACGTCAAGAACTGAAAAACAGTTAGCGGTGAATAAAAAGATCAAAGGATTCTGCAGGATGAATCTCAATGGATATTATAACTGTGACTAACGCCAACAGCTTACCTCGGAGGCTTATATCTGAGGGCTAACGATCGCTTGCGACATGCGATCATCCAAGCTAAAATGGCTTTGTCATCCGTGGAACCGACAGGCCATCCCAATCGCATCTGGATGGGGTTTGAACAAGATCTCAATCCTTGTCATTCAGATACAGCAGCTGCAGTATCCAGACCAGCACACATCCTTGTCTTGCACAATTCCTGGGGGGTCTATCATCAATGTTTGGCACTTCAATCGCTGGTTTGGGGTATACCCGGTATACCCAATACCCCAGGACAAACCCAAGTGTGATTTCTTTTCTTAGAAATTCCCAGAATACCCTCTGGTAATTTAACATAGCTATTGAAAATTGCCATTTATAGTGAGTTTTCCCATTAAAAATGGTGATTTTCCATAGCTATGTTAAATTACCAGAGGGTAGATCCCGTTAAAATTTGCTGATTTTATACCCCCATGTCTTTGTTGGTGAAATCCCTCCATGATCATATCATCTCCTTCACTATCGGATATGATCATGTTGGGTACATATCCCATTGTATCCCCATCAAATAGTTCGTTGACACCATGATTGTTGGTTCACTCCCAATATCTGATGGATAAAGGCGGTGAAATGCATGGTTTTTCCAGTTTCACTCCCAATTGTCATCCTGAAATCTCCATGTTTCTTCCCCGTTTTTGGTCGTGAAATCCCTTGGTTTGCCAAACATCCCGGCGTGAACTCGGCGTCCTGTGCTTCACAAATGCTTTCCGCAAGCGTGCAATCTCTTTCTCTGTGAACTCATCAGCCCCCGACCTAACATGGCGAGTTCATTGGGGGCTCCATAAATAGCTTACCATTTGGGGGTTCCATAAATGGGGGTACCCCCCAAAAAAAATGGCTTATAATGGAAAATCCTAAAATAGTATGGATAATTTAGGGTTACCCCCATGAATTGGAAAACCTCCATCTGGCCACCATTCGAATGCTTGTATCAAGACATGTATATCCTATATGCCAACATCAATATCCCAGTTTTGATCGGATGGAGTATTCTTTGGCTATGACTAACAGCTAACAGTTTGCTGTGGGAAATGGCCCCTGGAATAGATGATGAATATTATGATGTACCAATGATAAATATGGTGGTTCTCCACTTCGCTACATTAAATTGCCAGATGTTACACCCGCTAACCAAACATGGCGGGCCGCTGGGAAATCCCCGAATCAGCCATGGAGGTTTATAGCTGGGACAATCAACTCTCTAAATGATGGATTTTCCACGGCTATGTTAGATTGTCAGAGGGTGTATCCCGGTAAAAACTGGCAATAATGGATATATATTGGGTCACATTAATCTCCAATTAATGTACGGGATTCCGGGATCATTTACTAACCAGTTGACTAATTGGGGATATAGTAGATTATAACCCACTTACCAAGCAGTTAGCCGATCCCATGGCCCATCTAAGTAGGAAGGAAAAGTGGCCCCACAAAAAAAAGCCAGCTGTGCCACTGACTACGGAGAGACAACTGGCTGAACTCAGATCCCAACGATTCACCTAAGAACATTCTCCTCAGTTGCGAGCAACCCATCTGCAGTGCCTAAAAAAGGTGCTCTTTGCGCCTGTGTTTTGGGTCATGTGTTGGAGCCGTTGGTAGTTCGTGTGTGCACAACCATGAGGGCCTTCAAAAAGACAATTGGAACTGCCCCCAGTGTCTTAAGACTACCACTTCATGCAAATGTCTGCAAAAGACAGAACGCGTCTTGAAGAGGACTGAGGATGCAATATGATGCCAAGCTGCACTTCGTGTTCTGGCGGCAACTGCAAAATCTCCTTGCCAGTATAGCAAGATTTGACAATAACAAAATTGTCTATGATTCTTTGTTTCAAATTCAGCAAACTCATTCACCCTATGCCGATAGAACCTGACCGAATGCAAGCCAAAAGTCAATCAAATCCGGATCTTTGACCTCTGAAACGTCAATGGTCATTCCTGAGCGCTTCACAAAAACTGGTGTCGCAATCAGGCAGTGTTGTGGGAAACTCGAAAGAAGTGGATGACGCGCATCTCAATTTGTGCAGGATCAGTAAGCACACAAGTGTTGCTTCTTATCAAAAAGAAACTCCTGATAGGGGTGCCCTTATGAAGTTGTTGAACTCATCCAATCCACATCTGTAAGCCATCACTCTAGATCTTAATTGGTATCCAAACATTCAGCAAAGTTCATCATTTGGCCATAATCCTACAGAAGGCCCTGCCTCTTGCTTTCTTGAATTTTCGGTGTTTCGGTTGCTCCTCCTTTTGTTCCTCCTCCGGAGCCTGTGTAGGCGAGCATGACATATGAGTTTGATTCAAAATTGGGCAATGCCCTTTATAATATATATAGATATATACATACATACATACATATCTTTAAAAAAAATGGGGGAAGATGACCATAGGCATCTATCACCCATGAGATGTTCGGGTTAAAATTTCCAGAACCCCCGAACATCAATTTTCTCGACTCTATCGAAACAATTGCACAGCACCATCCACCTGCGGCGTCGCGTTCGCTATCTCTTTCATCATCTTCGCAGCTTTCAGAGAGGTCCGTCGCTTTTCCAACAGCGCTTCGATGCTGCGTCGTCGCGCACCCAGCATTGGAGTCGCCGGAGCAGTGGGTGCCTTTTGGACTTCTTTGCCACCTCAAAAAAGGAAAAAAATCGACTCCCAGAGCTTCAACAACAAGTTACAGAGGCTCATCTGGGTCCAGAAAGTGGGATACCCCAAAAAAAAACATGGTTCACGGCTTTAAAAGCCTCATGTTCCTCATATCTTCGGGGTAATCCCTTTGGACAAACAAATGTCCATCATTTATTGGCTAAATCTCCACTTTAGATGGATATTTAAATCATATGTATAATCCCCGTACATTGGCTGTTTGAATCCCACAGTTTTGGACAAAGCTTCTTGATCCTCAGCTTTGAAGCTCAAACTAACTCCCCAGTTTTTATGGTCAAATCCAAATGTTTAATGGCTAAATCCCCATGTTTGATGATGAAATCCACCCCATTCCCCCAACAAAGGCCACCAGCAGCGCCCAAGCTGCTATGGTCGTCTCCTAATCCCGAGGCGGTGGAGTTGCCATCGCTCCCCTCCTCCAGGTCGCCAGCCTGTAGGACTTAGCAATGGAATTTTGACAGTGAAATGGGGATTATGTACATAGATACACATGTATGTATTTATATATATATATACATGTATGTATAGATATATGATCCCGGTCCCCGGTCCCGTAGCCCCCCCCCAATGGCATGGTCCCCTGCTCCCTGACCCAGAATCTTTCATTTCCATGGTATTTACAGCATTTTGGATGCAAAACCTCATACTACCTATACTACCTACAGGAACTAAAGAGTATAGTTATATTACCTCTTTACTACCTATACTACCTACAGGACCCACCCACCTCCCACATCCACAGGGTGGAGGGACCATGACCATGGGGGGAGACTATATACACCCAACTGGGCGGGGACACTATATACACCCAACTCCCATTCACAGGGGAGAGGGGGGGAACCATGACTACCTATACTACCTACAGGACCACATCCACAGGGGGGAGGGGGGGAACCATGACCGTGGGGGGAGACTACCTATAGGACCCACCCAACTCCCACATCCACAGGGGGGAGGGGGGAACCATGACCATGGGGGGGGAACGAAAGCCAGCATCCCATCTAACCCTACTTTCCCCAAATAATTTTTCACCCACAGACTTTTCCCCCATATACTTTTCACCCAAATACCTTTCACCCAAAGACTCTTCACCCAGAAACTCTTCTTGCACATACGTTTCACCCAGAGACTCTTCACCCAGAAACTCTTCTTGCACATACTTTTCGCCCATATACTTTTCACCCAGAGACTCTTCACCCAGAAACTCTTCTTGCACATACATTTCACCCATATACTTTCCACCCAGAGATTCTTCACCCAGAAACTCTTCTTGCACAGACTTTTCACCCAGAGACTCTTCACCCAGAAACTCTTCTTGCACATACTTTTCACCCATATACTTTTCACCCAGAGACTCTTCACCCAAAAACTCTTCTTGCACATACTTTTCACCATATACTTTTCACCCAGAGACTCTTCACCCAGAAACTCTTCTTGCACATACTTTTCACCCATATACTTTTCACCCAGAGACTCTTCACCCAGAAACTCTTCTTGCACATACTTTTCACCCATATACTTTTCACCCAAGACTCTTCACCCAGAAACTCTTCTTGCACATACTTTTCACCCATATACTTTTCACCCAGAGACTCTTCACCCAGAGACTCTTCCCCCAGAAACTCTTCTTGCACATACTTTTCACCCATATACTTTTCACCCAGAGACTCTTCACCCAGAGACTCTTCCCCCAGAAACTCTTCTTGCATAGATTTCTCACCCAGAGACTCTTCACCCAGAAACTCTTCTTGCACATACTTTTCACCCATATACTTTTCACCTAGAGACTCTTCACCCAGAAACTTTTCTTGCACATATAATGGTCCCACATCGGAGCCTCAATTTTACTTTTCACCCATATACTTTTTACCCATATACTTTTCACCCAGAGACTCTGCACCCAGAAACCCTTCTTGCACATACTTTTCACCCATATACTTTTCACCCAGAGACTCTTCACCCAGAAACTCTTCTTGCACATACTTTTCACCTATATACTTTTCACCCAGAGACTCTTCACCCAGAAACTCTTCTTGCACATACTCTTCACCCATATACTTTTCACCCAGAGACTCTTTACCCAGAAACTCTTCTTGCACATACGTTTCACCCATATACTGTTCACCCAGAGACTCTTCACCCAGAAACTCTTCTTGCACATACTTTTCACCCAGAGACTCTTCACCCAGACACTCTTCTTGCACATACTTTTCACCCATATACTTTTCACCCAGAGACTCTTCACCCAGAAACTCTTCTTGCACATACTTTTCACCCATATACTTTTCACGCAGAGACTCTTCACCCAGAAACTCTTTTTGCACATACTTTTCACCCAGAGACTCTTCACCCAGAGACTCTTCACCCAGAAACTCTTCTGGCACATACTTTTCACCCATATACTTTTCACCCAGAGACTCTTTACCCAGAAACTCTTCTTGCACATACGTTTCACCCATATACTTTTCACCCAGAGACTCTTCACCCAGAAACTCTTCTTGCACATACTTTTCACCCATATACTTTTCACCCACACATGGATCAACCATATACTTCTCACCCACAGACTTTTCCCCCATATACTTTTCACCCAGAGACTTTTCACCCAGAGACTCTTCACCCAGAAACTCTTCTTGCACATACTTTTCACCAGAGACTCTTCACCCAGAAACTCTTCTTGCACATACTTTTCACCCAACCCAGAGACTCTTCACCCAGAAACTCTTCTTGCACATACTTTTCACCCATATACTTTTCACCCGCAGACTCAGGCACAGACTCTTCACCCAGAAACTCTTCCTGCACATACGTTTTACCCATATACTTTTCACCCAGAGACTCTTCACCCAGAAACTGTTCTTGCACATACTTTTCACCCAGAGACTCTTCACCCAGAAACTCTTCACCCAGAAACTCTTCTTGCACATACTTTTCACCCATATACTTTTCACCCAGAGACTCTTCACCCAGAAACTCTTCTTGCACATACTTTTCGCCCATATACTTTTTACCCAGAAACTCTTCACCCAGAAACTCTTCTTGCACATACTTTTCACCCATATACTTTTCACCCACAGACTCTTCACCCAGAAACTCTTCTTGCACATACTTTTCACCCATATACTTTTCACCCAGAGACTCTTCACCCAGAAACTCTTCTTGCACTGATTTTTCACCCACAGACTTTGCACGCTCAGATTTTTACCCAATAAAACCGGACCTAGGGGGAATCGATACCCACCGCCACTGTTTTTCCGCATGGTACATTACCCTGAAAACCATACTTTTTCCGCGCCTAAAACACAACCTATTTACGACGTTTTTGGCCCCTTGAGGCAACTACCCCCGCCCCAGACCCCCTATTCTCACTTCGTTCGCAAATAACAACTAGCCAGCTTCCCGGCTGGCTTTCGTAAAATAGGGACAATCCCCATCCTGGCTTAGTAGTGGTGGTGCAGGTATAATCAACAAAATTGAGATTTGATGGGATAATAACGTATAATAACCACAAGTAGAATCAAATGATTCACTGGATACGAATATAACTATAACCAAAAGTTGGGTATAATTATAACCAAATATATAATGGTGGGTATATAGTATTACTATAACCATATTATGGTATACTTGGGTATAATGATGGGGTATAACTATAATTGAATAATTATGGTTAAGCCATGCATCTGATGAATTTGACCCACGATAGCACTTTTTTTACATGGAAATCAGCCATTTACGAACCAATTACCCATATCTAAGTGCGATTCACTGGGTTTATGTGAAAATTGGGTATACCGGTATTGCATCAAATTGCCATTGCGTAAAATGGGGAAGATGATGATAATCCCTTGGAATAGGCTGCCCCCTATCTTCAAACAAATCGGAACATATACCTGGAATTCACCGCAAACCTAAGTGCCTCTTCTGCAACTTTGAGCTCGGCCATGGTCCACCAGCGGTGTAAACTCCTGGGAAATGAATGGTGGTGATTTTTTGGGCCCAGTTCATGGATTAGTAGAATCCCTTAGAATCATCAACAGGGGTTGAGCTGCCGCTCATTTGGTGATCCAGTGCGCCTGTACTGTTTACGATCTCGAAGCGCTGTTCCCTCAGATTCACGGCAAGTAACTTGACCAAAATGTTGCCCCCTTGGTCAAAATTTCAGAGCCACAGGACCACTATTCACCAGCTATAGGACCACTCAGCTGCTCACGGGTCTGATTCCTGGCCACTGCTCACGGGGGTTTCCATGGAGGCACCCCCAATAGCTGGATGGTTTATTTATAATGGAAATCTACCGAAAAAAAATTAAGGACTTAGGGTTACCCCTAAGAAACCTCAATATCATTGAAGAACATCTGATGTCTTTTTCCAAATGACACAAAACGAATTCCAGAAAATGCAAACTTGGGGACTTGGAAAACGGCTATTTCGAGGACACCCTGAGGGGCTGCACCACCTAGACTTTGCTGTCATTTTCTGGCCTTCTTTTCTTTCGCAGGCCATTCTCTTTGATGCCCTGCCTCGGTCAATTCACTGGCTTGAGATATTGAAGAATCAGTCAGAGCTGAAGCTGGGCGTGCCTGAAGATTTTGGTTTTCCTAATGTAAACATAGGTTTTCCCGATGTATATATCCCTGTTTTTCATGGGACAAAGGAAGCTTAACCGGTGGGAAAAACTGTGTACCGTCTGCAGCCCAAGTACTGAACGATTGCGTGAAAAGCTGATCAAAGGACAAAGCCACGCAGCTCTGTTTTCTCGAGTGTCGCCTGCGCTCCGCAACCAGGATTTTTCCCCAGTTTGGTTCGTACTCTTCGTACTGTGAATTGTAAAATCACCAAAAAACAATAAACCCGTTAGTGTTGCCAAGTTTTTAATTCTTAACCACTAATAAACAATTCAATATGATTCCCCTATTTATATATATACACATCATATTATTATTATCATTATTATTATTGTTGTTATTATTACAATAAATATTATGTATTAATAATAATAATAATCCATCAACAAAGGTCTTTTCATGGCTCATCTGGCTTCCGGCACACATCCCCAATGGGTGCAATGGATCAATAATGGTGAACGTGAATATTCATACGCTATGGGGTTGCTGAAAAATCGGGATATCCACCATGCCCCTTCTTACGGAAATGTTAGTGGCCTTCATAATGATTGGATTTGGGGTCTTCCTCATGTTCAGACAAAACTCATGTCATGTTCCAAGTGCCAATTCGATGAAAACATGGCTCCTGCTCATCGAACTGGCCATGCCTCACAGCCATACCAGAGGCAAGGCAAGGATATTCTTCGAACATTTGGGATTGCGTTTGGCAAGGATGTTTACCGCTTACCTCAACATGTTCCGTTGATCTTTTAAATTACAGTACTTCATGTTCTCAAAAGTTGCAAATCTAACGTGGAGCAGTTCCTAAAACTCCGAAATTCTTTCAGAATCTTTCAGCGAAAAATCGTCCAACGAGAATGCCGAGCAGTTCCATTGTCCAATCTTCCAAACGTTTCCAGATTTTTACCCCAGCATCGTGACTAGTTGTGCATCATCCTTCAGTCCACCAAAATCCAAGACATCAAAACCACCAACATCCCCAAATCCTCCAAGAATCCTCCCAGAAAAATCCTCCAGAATCTTCCCAAAAAAAAAAAAATCTCTCTTTGACCAAGCTACTCTTGCAGCTGTACATCGAGCGCACGCTCTGAGAAATGCTCCCCGCAGTGCCAGGACGCCGCTCAGCGCTGCGCTCAGCGGTGCTGGCGGTGCCTGGACGACCGTCGCCTGAGTGCCGTGTGGAAGTTTGAACCAGGGCGACCATCAAAACTCACCCAAAAGTGGGTAAAAATAGGCCAAAATTATGGGTAGAATCAAGATCAATCATGATCAATCAAAAAATAAATCAGCATGGATCATCCGAACCAGAATCATCGTAGTGAAATCTTTATGGCATTCTGCGAACATCTCAATAAGTAGACAATCAAAGAGCCAGTCTAACATGGGAACCTTCACTGCAAAGCAGCAACTCGGAGACAGAAACATGGAGGAGTTTCAATGGAAACAAAATGTACAGTAGCAACAAACAGACTAGTCAACTATATACGTGGACATATACGGATAGATAGATAGATTGTGAATCGGAGGTTATCTCCCCGATTATGTGCTGATGTTTGGTCTTGAAGTGGTTGTCTTCAGTGATGACGGCACACGAGTTGCGGCTTCAGCATGGCGATACTTTCTTCCGGTGCTGCAGTGGTCTTGAGCCAAAGGGGCAAGTTAACGCACCCTTGGCGTTGGATCCTTAAGGGCTGAATTATATGGGAGTGTACAGTGGTCCGTAGCCTACACTCTATTCGCACCCCCCACGCATGGCCAACTTTGTCGGCCACGCGCAAAGGAGTGTCCCTTGAATTGATCCATTACATCTGCAGCTGTTCATTTATTGAATTATGGAGAGCTAAAGTCTGTTCAGAACTTCAAATCTACATGGCGGCTTGCTACGATCTCTACCAAAAGATAAAGGTTCTGTTCACGTGCATGTTGACACGACGTAGTCGGTGTCAAGCATTGAGGTTCATCCGATGTGGCGTAGCCAGCATGGAGTCCCATTCAAGCATGTGAATTAAAAAAATCAAAACATAAAGATGACTACGGAACTAGAAGATTACCTTCCCGTTCCTTCGTCGGTTGAGATGTAGACCGCTGTAGAAGCTCAGCGTCTCGTGCAATGATGTTCAAAAAAAATGTGGTTCTAAATTAGCCGGCTCAGAGTCCTCTCAGAAATCATTCGAAATGAAGCAGAGGTAAATCTCGAGCAATGATTGCATCCTCGCATCGCCAGGTTCAATCAGGACCTATGCAGAGGTCATATCGATTTATCATCTATATCCCCATCCATAGTATCCATGTTGGTTCCAGTCTCCACCACGGTGCGAATAAGATCTTCCACCTTTCCCTTGGTCTTTTCCACCTTTCTGTGGCGGTGTCACTGGAGCTTGTTTTGGCGGAGGAGCGGCTTCGACGGTTCTCCATGTTGCTGACGATGATGCTTTCGCTTTTGACACTCTGCCCAGTGCTGGTGCTGCCTTCGGGGCTGCCTTTGATTTGCCAGCTGCTGGGTTAGTACGTTCACGATCGGCAGGAATCGGGGTATCAGCAATCGCAAGTAGGTGGGCTTCTGTCATGTGGATGCCCCATCTTGGTCGTTGATCATCCCGCTGCTTGATGTGGTTGTAGTCATTGATTGCATCATACAGTCTTTGGAGTAGAGGTCGTGGTAATTGTCGGCCATTTTGAAGGATCAGATGCAAAACCGAAATTCTTCGAAGTGGAGGTCGGAGAGCACACACAATGTCAACTGGGTTCAGTGCGATTGTGTCTTGAAAATCGACGTTCCTGAAGAAATAAACAGCGTTCACTCTGTATGCACCTGCAATGATTCTTCTGACCAGGACGTCTTGTCGGTCAAGGGCTTCGCGGGCGGCTTTGCGGCTGTGGTCTTTCTCATCTCATCCCTTGTTGAGTCATGTTTCGACAGCTTCTCCATCTCCTCGTCATAGAAGATATTTTGCAAGTCATCATACGTGTAGCCACATTCAAGGGTATATATGAGAAGTCTCTTGAGTACCACTGCCCCATAGTATGCATTGACGAATCCCTCTTCCCCGATGTCGTCCTTTTGTTTTGGTCGGCCGATCTCTTTGTAGAGCTCTTTCATCTGTTGTGCAGTTGGTTCGATGAGTTCGCCATTTTCATCCTCGCCTAGGTAAGGCACCCTTGAGTCCAGGTCCATCCTGAATTTCTGGTTCTGTTGAAAATGTTTCCATGCCGTCTCGATGTCTCCACAGAAGTTCCGTTGGAATAGTCTGTAGATCCTGACGATATGTAATCCAATCTGCAACAGGAGGATCTTGATGAGCTCCGGCTGAGCATCTCCAATTGTGCAAGGCTCGATTGGTAGGACCTTTGATCCAAACTCAATCCGCTTCATCCACTTGGGGTACTCAATCACTGCATCACGAGCTTCTCCAGCCTCATACTCTTCAATGTTGATTTCATCGACCGCTATCTCTTCATCGTCATTCTCGTCGGTCGGTTTTCCTTCCTGATTGAGAAATTTGTCGACCTCATCTTGTTCTCTGAAGTCTCTTTTCTCATCATTGATGTCGCCCTTCTTCGAGGCTTGGTCATCATCTCCCTCTTCTGGTTGAGGTTCTTGTTCTGGACTCTTCATGTTGACGTCATCATCATCTGGCATCATCTCGTCGTCATCACCATCACCTGTCAAATCGATCTTCACCTCCTCCCATGCTTTCTTGACATGGTCTTTGAGATCTTCTTCTCGATGATGTGATTCGGCACTTGGTACTGTAGCCACGGTGATCTTGATTCGTTTCCTCCATCCATGACTCACCAAAAATCCTTTGCACATCACACAAATCGATAATGGTGCAGGGGTCTCCATCAGACATGCGGGGCATAGTCGATGGTCCTCCTTGCTGGGATGATGAGTGACTGCTAACAATGATATTGCATCATTCCAATCCGGATGTCCAGGGAACAATCTGTGAGCATGACTGAAGTGACCGGTCTTGATATCGACAAGCTTTCGAAGTTCGTTCAGATCGGGTGATGATTCATCAGGCACAATGTTCCCAATGAGTTTGTCAAATCGTTCAATGGTGGCCACCCTTCTTGCTCCTTGCACGGAAAGTACAAGTTGATCTCTTCCCTTTGTGATCATGAGACGGTAGTAGTCCTTTTCCTTCCAATCGTAATACCAAACTGCATCGACTGATTCGAATGGAATTGTTTCTTGGACCAAAATGTGTCCGTCTGCTGATAATCGAGGGGAGAACTTGGCGATGGAATCGTACGTGATGTAGATGTAGACAAGATCAGTTTGTTCAATCTTTCTGAACCTCAGCACCGTCTGACTTCGCACGTCCCACGGTGCGAATGGCACGAAGAACGTATTGATGCGGTCGCCTCCTCCTCCGGGACGTAGTCCTTCTCTGAAGATTTGAGCGATGTTGTCAAAAGTGGTGCAGCGAAATCCTCCTCCAAGAGTGTATCCGACTCCAGGGTTCATCTGATAGGAAGTCTTCTTGTCTTCGATGTGCACACCGCCTTGAACTCTTGAATGTGCCATAGGGGCTCGGATTGCCACCGGCCATAGCCAAATCTCTCGATCTGCTGTGCCGATCTCCAACCTCAGTGTGTGTCGTTCAAGTCTCGAGGTCAATCCATCATTGAAGTTGTTCATGACGTATTCCAATTCACCTTTTGTGACTTTGAGTCCTAGCACTTGAGCTCGGATTCTTTTCGTTTGCTTGTACTCAGTGAAGATCACTCTCTGGAAATTGTTCCACCTCTCAACAAGTATTGGGTAGTTGACGTGGGTCGTTCCAGCCAATGTATGTTGGTCTCTCCAAATGTTGTCGTACTTCAAGATCGACTCGACATTGACCCAACCCGCTTCATCGCATGGTAGTCCACGGTGATTTCGATTGTCCTTGACGCAACCCACGGAGTGGCGTAGCGCTGCTTTGAATCTTTTCGATAATTCGACTATCCATTGCGGATTTTCCCACTTGTTGCCCATCCACTCATTCTCGCCATATCGATGCACCTTACTCCATCCAAATCCAAGATATTCTTCTCCATTGATGCGCGCAAATTGAAGTGTACCAATGTTGTGGCCATGTGTGAATGGTTGGATGTACTTGAAGTTCCAGTTGTCTCCATGTTGTTTTCTTTCTTCAGTAAGCCATTTTACATATTCATCATGATCAATGGGGTTCCAAGCGTTCAGCTCCTCAATGGTCGGCAAAACAGGCGGGGACTCCTCAGCCGCACGTTCAATCAGCATATCAAGCTCACGACGATTCTTCACACCTCGGCTAATTGGGTTGACTTCGACACCATTCACTAAGTATTGTCCTCCTTCTTCACGATCACCAATGTCGTACATAAAGGCTGACTGACTGTAGAAGCATTTGGTCACTTCTTCCTTCTCAGTGAATCTGGTTCTTCCCCAACGTTTTCCTCGTGGCATGGCGTTCTTTGGGAGCTTGTCTTTTCTGCCTCTTGTCGCAGCTTTGGATCTTTCCGATGACGATGGGGACTTGGATTTCTGGTCCATGATCAATCTCATGCGCCATAGGGTGTCCTTCATGTTCTCGTCATCAGGTGTGGTACATTCATCAATGTCATGCATTCCACCACAAATGAAACAATATTGAACACTCGATGCGTCTGCAATCAGCTTTTCAAATCGATCACGGATGTTCCGCACCTCAGTTCGGCGCTTCTTCGCTTCCGAAGGTTGGCCCCCCATGTCCTCTTCCTCCTCCTCAATTTCGATGTCACCAGCTCCGGCATCGGTTTCTCCTGAAGTCTGTTCTGCTCGAGGGCCCCGCGCCGTAGGCGTCGTGGTCTCCTCTTCAGGCTCGCCGACTTCGTCCTCCTCCTCATCGCTTGATGAGACCTCAATCATTTCAGGGTGGTCATCGTAGTTGGCTTCCGGGAGCACCGGCATTCTGGTGATCTTCTTCTGCATGAGTAGGTCGAAGATTCCCGCTTCTCTCAAGACGGTTGTCACCATGTCGTTCTCGACCGGTGGGATGTATGCTTTCCTGGATCGGTTTCGCTTCGTGTTGATGGTGTCGGTGGGTCGACATGAACTGCTGAATAGCCAGAATGACTCTTCCAGTCCTGCGAGGCAACTGTCAAGGTTTGCCCCCCATCCACCAAACATAGTAGGGAATTGAATACCC